GCACACGTCCCGGGGTACGCACAGTTGGCAAAGACGTTTTCCTGGACGCCGAGCGTGTACCAGCCCCAAAACGGCCCGAGGTCCACGCTTTGACCTTGGACGAGGTCGCCGCGGCCATTGGGCGAGAACCACGTCGCCGAGTTCTGCGAGTACGGGCACACGGCCGGGAGGTTGTTGACGATCTTGATTTGGCCGCTCCAGTAGCCCGTGCCGTGGGCGATGGCCATGGGCTTCCATTGCGCCGACGTCTTGTTGCTCTTGGCCAGTGTTGTCACGCCCTACGCGATGTCAACTGCCATTTGTTCATGGACGACTACCTCGGCCTGAACGGTTTGGTTGCTTTCGATGGCGGCGACAGTCTCGTTGCTCTCGATGGCACTGGCGAGCGCGAGGCCACACGTGGCCAGAATGAGGTGGAAGAGACCCATGCGCTTGCGTGCAAGCTGGTACGTTTGGAAATGGGATGAAGAAAGACACGCAGCCATTTCCATCGCGGGTCCCTTGGTGTCTGGGAATCTGTACAAACAACGACAGGTCGTTGTTCGAAATGGTGTACGCGCAGTAGCCGACTATGCGATGGGTGAGGCGTTGTCACCCTCGACTAAGATGCTTTCAAACCACGGAGAAGAAGTCGGTTGTGCGACTACCGTAGCTCTGTCGGTGACATAGCGATGCCGATTGGATAAGAGGCGATACAAAGTCGACACCGGTGCGACGACCTAACACCAGCGAGTACGCAGGATATAGCTCCGTCCCCACCACCGTTGTCGCCACATCGTCGCCTCGGGCCCTTCAATGTTGCGGCAAATAGCAAATAGCCCGAGATTACGTCGCTCGTCGCTACAAGGGTGCGGCAAAGTAGCGTGGGATACCGTCTCTTTTGAATGGAGTATGCGTACGAGGCCGCATCAAGACCACGGAAAGATATATGTGCAATCGTTAACGTTAGTGACTAGTGGGTAGTATCGGCCCGACAAAGTTGACACTCGGTCGAAACTCGACACGAGCTTCAGCCCCATCGTCTCGTCCTCGCTCGTTCTTTCTTACAGTTAGTACGCGTTCACTCCCGCTCGCTCGGATATCGCGATTTCTGGATTCGAGGTGGGCAAACGATCTTGGATAGTTAGATAGCATCCAATTTGATTCAATTTTCAATCCGATAGAACGATATCCAAGCCCAGGACATCGTCGACAAAGCGCGCCGTCCACGG